TATTATTAAGCTGAATGTGTTTAATTAACTTAATTTTTTTCTAAGCAACCATGGGTTGTCTCATACCATTACTGTTTCACTGCTATACTCTCTTAAAGAAACAGATTACTTAAGTACCTGTGCAAATACTAAATCAAGAGAAACACAAAAAGATAGCATTAAATTTTATCATGCACCTTAGATCCCTAAACAAAACAACCCTTAAAATTGGGATGTCAGAAAGAAAGGTGAGGATGTGGAGTGTTTTGATATTTGCACTTACCGCAACATTTCCACACGTTTGGAAGGCAGTAAACATAAACATAAAAGCAACTCCTAACATAATTATGTTAAAAAGCTTTTTCGATTTAGGAGACATTTTGTTTTTTTTTAGGAAGTTGTCCTCTTCAGTCCGGAGAAGTTCTATTTTCCTTTTAAAGCTCCCTTTTAAGTTCTGCCAAAAAAAAAAACAAGAAAAAAACCCTTCACAAACACAAGTTATTTTAAACTAATGGTTAAGTGTTAGGAAGTATTCATTGGCAAGCCAAGAGGTCTAGTCTCCACTGTAAATAAAATAAAGAAAAAAACAACAACACTGGGGAAAAAAAATGTCAAAGGTTTAGTACGAGTTGTGAAGATTATTCAGATCCTTTCATATGAAGATATGCAGAGTGCAGTATATTATTTCTTCATGACATGCCTTCCCCCAGAAGTAGTTTCCCAGCCGCTGAGTTAGTAAATCAGCTCACTTCCTCGCCACCATTGCTCTGAATCAGATTTTAGTCAAAAGACATTAAATCACCTGACAAAGGAAAGAAAAGACACTCATAAACACAAGCCATGTCCATTCATGCTGAACAGGAAATAAGGAATATTTCACAATCCAGGTCAGCTGACTGATCAGGCTAGAACACCCTTGTGCACTCTGGGAAATGCAGTTTCAGCATTTCTATGACTTAAAAAAAGAGTAAATCTACAATATTACTTAAAATAACAACAGTATGTTTGTGGTTACTGTAAATAATATTCTGTAACCTTTAGACGATAATACTTTGGGCAAGAAACCAAATTTCTCAGAAAGTCTTTTAAGAAAACTGTCACCTACTGCTTTCAGTCATGCAAAAAGCATTCATAAATGAAGACTGAAAAGCTCAGGGGGTCCTTTCAGTAAACACAGCAGAAAAGAAAGGAAAGGAAATATTTCATTGTCATTGACACACATGCACAGTCTCTCTCACTGTTTCCGTCTGTCGCGCATTCACTCTGAAAGGGAAGTAAAATAGCTGCCTCTACAATCACTCAATATTTTGCCTTGAAATCCTTCCAACATAAAACCTATTATTTAATTGCTAATATATTTATGAATTGAGTTTTGTAACTTTTTTTAAATAAGTAATCCTCAAGATCAGAAGATCCCTATTTTAAAAAGTGAGTAAAGCAGAAAAAGAAAGTCAGACATCTCATATTAAGTCTACCCCCACTTCCTGCTATTATTATTTAGCACTTGTATTAGAAGAGTACCCAGAGACCAGTGAGGATTGAGCTAACTCAGGGGTTCTCAAACTGGGGGTCTGGACCCCTCAGGGGGTGGCGAGGTTATTACATGGGGGGTCATGAGCTGTCAGCCTCCACCCTAAATCCTGCTTTGCCTCCAGCATTTATAATGGTGTTAAATATATTAAAAAGTGTTTTTAATTTATAAGGTTGGTCGCACTCAGAGGCTTGCTATGTGAAAGGGGTCACCAGTACAAAAGTTTGAGAACCACTGTGCTAACTGCTGCACAAATACATACAAAGACATAGGGCAAAACTGGCCCAGTTGAAGTCAATGACAAAACTCCCATGGACTTCAGTGGAGTCCCAGTTTCACCCAGCATTATGTCCTGCCCTGAAAGCCTTATCCAGAAGTTACCATTCCAACAACAGCCAAAAACAATATATTACTTATTCAATATTTTAAAGATTGCTCAGCTAGTATTTTACAAAATTGTACAGTATTTTATTTGAAACTAGAGCTTTGTTGTTACTTATGCAAGTCAATAACACTACTCTTATGAGTATTGACTTGGAATAAAAGAGCCAGGGCTCAAGGGGATGCCTGCGTGGATCACACTGCAGGAGAAGGTCTTGGTTATGTACTTGGGAAGAGTAGCTCTTTCCGCCTGGTTTCTACATTATGAACACTTACAACAGGAGATTTCTAAGAGACATAGGAGGGAGACTCCCTCTACCATTTTGAAGGATTCGCTGTAAAGCAGATTTTTAAATCTCTCCTGATATGAAGGATTTTTTGTGGTGCGAGTCAGAGAGAAATTTTAAATCTCACTGTTCTATGTGAAATGAATAAATAACAAGAAGCAATAAAACAGAAATAAAAACAAGAAGTGAGACATTATTTCCTTAATTTAGATTACTCATGCAGGAAATATCTTGCTTCTTGTTTTTATATCAACATTATTGCTTCTTGTTATATGTTATTTTCACTATTGAGCAAAATATTTATTAAACAAAGCATTACACTAAGAACAAAAAGTAAAATCTAACTACACCTCTACAACACGACCCGATATAACACGAATTCGGATATAACGCGGTAAAGCAGTGCTCCGGGGGGGCGAAGGGGGGCTGCACACTCCGGTGGATCAAAGCAAGTTCGATATAACGCGGTTTCACCTATAACGTGGTAAGATTTTTTGGCTCCCGAGGACAGCGTTATATCGGGCTAGGGGTGTATTAGCTTTTAGAAATCTCTCGTTCACACTGTAATCCCAGTTAAAGAGAGATCTCTGGAAATGCAGTCTCTTCTTCATTTCAGTTTATTTTCTTTTTAAACAAAGTAATTTATGAAGAACACAATCATAAACCTTTAGTAATGAGCTACATAATAATTAGTCATTATTAGTAATTAATTATTATTATTTGACTAGTATCATTGAAGAAAACAGTGTAGACAAGGTCAAATTTCCCACTATCACACTAACACTGGTATTGCACCACTGGCTAGTGGAGTATGGTCACAGTGCTAGTATGGATTGGCTGATTGTATCTCTACACCAGTTTGAGCAGGTGTAGACAACAGAAAAGTAACAATTCCAAATGCCAGTCTACCCTAGTACTCCCACTATTGCTACAATCCCACTAGTGGAGCTACACTGTGGCAGTGCAGCAGTGGGAAATCTGAAGAAAAATGCTAGCAGTCTTTTGTGCCACTGAAGTGTATATGTGATGTCCTAGCACCTTGGAGTAGAGATGTGGAAGCCATTGAGAGGTGATATCCATGCCTTGGCGTCAGGGAGGTTTTTATACGATGCCAGCAGTAACATGGCAGCATGTGTATGCTTGTGCAGCTTTCATGGCACCCCAAAACCTTGGCAATGTGCATGTAAGCTTTCACACGGCACCAGCAATACTGTCACAGATCACGTATAAGGGCTTTTCCACAGCACTCCAAGCAATATGCTGAGGTATCCTTGGGAAGCTTTCACATTGCTGGAGAGGGTGTATACATGCATGGAGAGTTCACATGGCACTCCCAGCACTATAGAAGTGCATGAATGTTTGTGGAGCTTTTACACACCATGTCCCCAGTAGTGTGGCAATGTATATATGTGTGAGGGGCTTGTGTGCAGCATTCCCAACCACAGGATGAAAAATGTGTGTAAATGTGGGGAGCTTTCATGTGGCACCCCAAGCAAAGTGGTGGGATGTATTTGGAAGGGAGTGCTACTTTCACAAACTGCCTCCAGCACTTTGGCAGGGGGAGGGGGTGGCACTTGCATGGGACACCCCAGCATAGTTGCAGGGAGTGTGTGTTTCGTGGGGGAGAGAAAGGGAAAGAGTTTCACACAATGCCCTGACATTACACTTGCAGCACATGGCAGCTTGACATAAGGCTTCATGCTGGCCTTACAATAGCAGAGCAGATGTGCACGGATGTGCTGAGGCCTTCAGGTTGTGTCCCCTCCCCCCCCTGTGGATTTGGGATGGGGGGTTTAAAATGACCTTTTGCACCTAGGTGGACGTTAGGGTGACCAGATGTCCCGATTTTATATGGACAGTCCCGATTTTTGGGTCTTTTTCTTATATAGGCTCCTATTACCCCCCACTCCCGTCCTGATTTTTCACACTTGCTGTCTGGTCACCCTAGTGGGCGTGAATGCAGGGTGAAAAGGAAGTGCCTACGTGTAGTGCCTTCACCTAGCATCCGCTGCACCACGGCAAGGCGAGTGGGGGGCTTCGTGCACTGACCCCATATTGTGGCAATGCAGGTGTGGGGGAGAAATGGGACTTTAATGGGGACTGACCAGCACAGCAGCAGCATGTGGGTGTGCCTGTGAGGAGCACAGGACACGGTTCCCATCCCACATGAGGGGGTGAGCACGGGCCTACAGGGTGCATGGGGGGAGGGGAAAGTGCCCTCCCCAGTATCGCTGAAGTGAGAGGTTCCTAACTGATCAGCCCACGATACTGGGGAATGTCGTGTCCAGCTTGTATCTAACTTTGTTACAGCTCCCTCCCGCCTGTGGCTATGTTTCTGGCCCTGTCACTCACACATGACACAGCCTGGCTCGCACCTTCCCTCCCCCTCACACCCACCAGCCCTTTCTGCTGATCGTCCGCCATTTTGACTCGTTTCTTTCCTCAACTGCTCCCCCCTGCTTCGCCACGGGAGTCTCCTCCCAGAAATTTCACGTTGTATGGGGTTTTTTTCTCCTTTCCCAAAGGGACGAACATTCACGCTCGATCTTTGTCCCGATTTTCGGGCCACATTTCGTTCAAAATTTCCCCGCCTCAGCCAATCCCTTCCGGGGTCACGGCCCGGCCGCCCCAACGGCCACTTTCTAGGCTCGCCGAAATATTTATTTAGAGGCGGACTCGCCACGGATGTTTCGCGTCCACTTCTGTAAAACGCGCGAAGGGGTGAAAAAAATGAACGGAAAACGTCGGTTATGGAGAGAGCCCCGCGGTCGCGCGCGCGGACCCGCTTCCCTTCCGGGTCAGAAGCGGCCATTTTGTGGCGTTAAGTAGGAGGGCGCGGACTCTACCTCGCTCATTTGCTAGTAGCAGCGGTGAGAGGAGAGTGGCCGCTGCGCTGCATTTGCCCTTCCCCCTTCTTGGCCTCCGATCCCCGGGCTGGGTGCCCGTCTGTCGCCTCTACGGAGCCCGTGAATCTTCTGCGATCTCGTTACACGGCCTGTAGCTTTCCACCTTTGTGGCCTGAAGGTTGGGGCCCGCTTCGGCGTCTATTCCCTGGCTTGAGGGGCCTCCCAGGCCAGATCCGGTACTGACTCCTGATCTGCTCGCCAGGTTTCTCTCCTCAGTCCCGCCGCCCCTCGGGGGCCTCTGCCCGCCATGAGCTACGGGCGCCCCCCGCCTGATGTGGAGGGCATGACTTCCCTGAAGGTGGACAACCTGACCTACCGCACGTCTCCAGACACGTTAAGACGGGTCTTCGAGAAGTACGGGCGGGTGGGGGACGTCTACATCCCCCGGGACCGCTACACCAAGGAGAGCCGCGGCTTTGCCTTCGTCCGCTTCCACGACAAGCGCGATGCCGAGGATGCGATGGACGCCATGGACGGCGCAGTGCTGGACGGCCGAGAGCTCCGCGTCCAGATGGCCCGTTACGGGAGGCCCCCGGACTCCCATCACAGCCGCCGGGGGCCGCCGCCGCGCCGATACGGAGGTGGCGGCTACGGACGCCGCAGCCGCAGGTGAGAGCCCAGCAAGGCAGGAGTGTTAGGTGGGAGGAGGGGCAGATGGCTGCTTTCCCGGGGCTATAGAGGACTTGGGAGGCGCAGGGCTGAGGGTGGGAGCCATGGGTTTGGGGGGGGGGCAGTGGAGGTACAGCCTGGGGGAACCAGTGGCCCCTCTATGACGCGATGGAGGAGGGTGTTTCATGGCTGGGAAGGCAGGATCGGCGCGAAAACGCAGGCTTACAGAGCCACGTGGTGTCCATGGCGGCGGGGAGTGTTCGGGGGTGGGTGGTAGGCTCAGCCCCAGGCCGCTTCCTCGGAATAATGACGTCTTGTAACCGCCGCGGGGGGGAGACTTGTTCCACGTCCTCCCTGACTAGCCCAGTGCAACACGCCTTTTTCACGTCTAACCGAGTGATTTTAACGTTGTAGCCCCAGAAGACGCCGCCGCAGCCGATCCAGGAGCAGGAGCCGCTCTAGGTCCCGCAGTCGATCCCGCTACAGTCGGTCCAAGTCCAGATCCCGCACACGCTCGCGATCTCGCTCGACCTCTAAGTCTAGGTCTGCTAGGAGATCCAAATCCAAGTCGTCATCCGTCTCCAGATCCCGATCCAGGTCGAGGTCCAGATCCAGGTCTAGAAGTCCCCCACCAGTCTCAAAGAGGGAATCTAAATCCAGATCCAGGTCTAAGAGCCCCCCCAAATCTCCCGAAGAGGAAGGAGCTGTATCCTCTTAGGAAAATGGTAATGTAGCTGGAACGCTATGCAATTTGCATGTTACTTCATAATAGCCCTTAAGTGGGGTGTATCGGGGTAGTTCTTACCATATTAACAACCTGAATCAAGTGACTCGTAATGGGAGACACTGTTCGCTTTTTGAGCAGACTTTTCAGTTATTTGGCTAGGGAAATAAATTTTTGCAGAGGACATATTTTTATGTTTTGTTGAGAGATTAATGGTTTGGTTTTAATGAAATATTGTATGAGACGCAACCTATTAATGAAAATGACTTTCTTGCTGTTTTTTATCCAACATCTGCATTTTCCCCTTTAAAGCTGCGGTCTCCTGTTTGCTAAAAGAATATTGGCCAGTATTGCAGATTTTAACTGATTTGGCTGATCCTCCAGGGACCAGTTTCTGTGGGCGTGTATTGGAGCAGGTTTGTCTTTAAAAGTTAAAGATACACTATCCTTTTGTAATGGAACATCAGTTCAGTGGTCATTGTACTGACTGGAGGTAAAAAAAGTTCTTATAGAAGTGGCAAATGCAATGCAATAAAAGATGGAAACTAGTTTTTCCTCAAATGAACTTTAGAGGCTTCTAAGGATATACTGGGTGGGGAAAGGATAGTGTGTCTTTAACCCCTCAAACTGTTTGGTCCTGTTTTTAAAATGGAAATGGGCCTAAGATAGCTGTAAGGTTAAATAATTGTATGTTAAAATTAATGATACTGTCTCAGATTGTATTGAATGCCAGTTGGAAGATAAAATTAAGTCTTTAAGTATTACAAAAAATATTAGTTTCTATAACTTCTTATATGGGCTGAATTCAAGTTAAGTGTCCGATTTACAGCCTGATGCTTGCTCTTCACTAACTCAGTTTAAACTAATGTGACTATTAAATGCTTCTTCGCTATCAACTTTGAATTTCAAATTTGGCCTTTGAATTAGAGGTAATGTGGTGACAAATGGGGGGAGGTGAAGCACTATACATAATCCTTAATAAAACTTAATTAAATTAGGCAAGGCCAGTTGAATCACAACCAGAAGCATACTTGAAGTCATCCACGTAATTGGGAAGGTGCATGGTGGAAATGTGGCTGAACTGTTCTCTCTTCAAATCTAGATGCATCAGATAAATGAGAAATCTACATAAAGGACGCCTCTGGGGGAAAAGATCCTATGAATCTTCAGTCCATTGGAGAGACCCCAGGCACAAGCAACCAGCTGTTGAAAAGGTTATTTTGTAACATTTTTGTCTAACTTTTTACTTGTTTAAGTTGAGCCTCAAATGGCAGACTTTACATTTTATGTGCCATTTTGTTGCTGTTATTCAAATTTCTTGTAATTTAGTGAAGTGAACGACTACCGATTTCATTATTGGCTTGGATATTTGAGGTAAATTTTCATTTTTTGTTTATATAGTACTGGCTTTTGTTTGACTTTAAAAAAACTGATGGTAACTTAATTTGTTGCCTCAAGTTTCATGTTGCGGAAACATGCAGCCATTACATGCCGAGTAGCTGACTGTCAAGGAAGTGTTCTCAATTTGCCTTCATTCCTTAAATAAAATTCTGCAAAACTTTTTCAGATGTAAACTTCTTGTAAATGCTATTTGCTTTGAATTTAAATAGTATCGTCTATTCCAAATTTGTATAAAACTTTTCAGGTGACAGTTGATTTTGAAAGGATTGTTTTATCAGACTCAATTCTAATCTCTTCTCTTATGTATTTTTGTGCACTAGGCGCAGTTGTGTAGCAGTTGAGTAATGCTGGTTAGCTGTTAAGGTGGCGTGTTGCAGTGCAGAGTGCTTGGCTGTTTCCTGTTTTCTCCTGATTGCTCCTGTGTAACGATGCCTTGTCGTGCAGAAACAAATGGCTGTCCAGTTAATTAAAATGCCTGACAACTGCACTTCCAGTCACCCGGGCCTTGCATAAAAATAATGGAGCATACAGTGAGCACATCTAGCTGATGATATACACACCTTATTTTTTCCAGAATGGTAAATCTTACCATCTTCTTTTATGAACTTGCATATAAGAAATGTAATGTTAAGAGCAAATGTTTCATTCCTTTGTAAGTACTGATTGGTGTATCTTTTGCTTATGACATTATGTACTATAACCACTGTCCCTGTAGTTATTAAACATTTTTCTTGGTGTTAACTTTTCTCAATCTAATGTCTGAGTCAACATTTATTTTTAGCTTATAAAGATCTCAGCAATTATATTGTGAATGTTTAACTTCTCTTCAGTAACTTATTATTGTCCATTGCTTTTAAATTGTATCAACAGGGAGTAGCCGTTTCAATACTAAGTTTAGTATATCATCTTGGGAACAAACATTTCTTTTTGAACAATACAAACCTTAAATATTGACCGCTTAGGCAAGGTGCCAAGTGGCAGACCTGGTTGCTTGAAGTCCTGCTTGTTAAAAGAACAAGTAACGAAAAACAGTACTTGTTGGATTTGCCTTTGTGCCAGCTTAAAAGTGAAGGTGGCTAATCTTGTGAGAAGTAATGGTAGTATTTTTGAGCTAGACACCAATGGAGTTGTAATTGCAGCCTGCAAGCACTATGTAGAAAACCATCTGTTTATCAAAATGCTGCCTCAGTGCACATCTAATGAAAAGTCTTGATTGCCTAATCTTCAGACTTAACAGGGATATGAGTATCAGTGGGCTTGTCTAAACTTTTAAAGTTAATGCAGTCTTGAAAGTGCATATTCTAAATAGAAACAAGGTGCACTTGTTCTACAACAGTCAGCAATGGAATTAATTTTGTGTAGATGCTCTAAAAATTAGTGTGTCTATCTAATACTAAGATGTCTAAAGTAAATTGTGAGCCACTAAACTAGAACTTCGTTCCAGGAGAATCTTACTATTCACATAATTACATATTGTTCTTAAATACAGAAAGGGTAACTGCATAAAATGAACATTGTTCAGATCCTTAAAGTTAAATTGTTAGTACACCATGTTTAGCTCTTAAACTGGAAAACGGGTAAGAAATAGTAACTTTCAGGCTGAACATGTAATAGTCAAGTTCCTAACTTGAACTTTGAAGAAAATCATAACCTGGCCATTATAAATAATCAGCATGGTAAAGCACAGTATGTAGACATGAATGTTTTGCCAGAATTTCACTTAGTCTTTCTCCTATACCTGTGAATCAATTAAAGTAGATGTAAAAAATCTCTTAATTTTATTCTCTAGGTGTGAACACAACTCTTTAGAAGAAAGTCATAACCAAATACTTTCAAGAGATCTTATTTGTACAATACAAGATAAGATGAAATAATTCTGTTTAAAATTGTACTAATTAGTATACCTGCTTTCACAAGAATTACACTAAAGCCATTTAGGGGTATGATAAATTACTTTAGTAGCATGGATCTGTGGAGGAAATGCATTCTGTTTTGTGGTAAGCAAACATTTTCCCTGCCTCTTGATCAAGTAGCATTAATTTCTCCACACAAATGGAAATGCTGTTTATCCAAAAGTTGCTTGAAGCGAAGTGCAGTCAGTCTTCTGAGCTACCTTCTTGAATTAGAACCATCAGCTGGCAGAAACTGAAGTGTAGCTTGCTCCTGCTAGTGAGATGATCATCATTTCAATGGTGTGTCTTCCTGGGAGAGGAGAGGTAGCCAACTGTTCCTTGTCAGCATTAAAAGACTGTAAGGGAACGTGGATATTCTTCAACTTCCATTTGTACAGCAAAGCTTCAATAGACCAGTCAGAACTGAAGGAAAAATGTCAGATGGATTGTTTTGATAAAAGTACAATCTCAGTTCAGTGCTTATTCTGTTATTAAACTACTGTGCATGAACAAGCACAGTAACTATAGAAGAGTGACAAACTTAAAATACAAAAAGCTTAAATACACAGCTACCCATATGTTTCTATCTTATTCGGTTGACTGGTTTAGGGCCTTGTTTATCAAAACTCTGCCCTTTGCATCTGTTGACTTTGGAGCCTCAAGACAAAATGCACACAAGTTAGTTTCTCCTGAAATTACCTTCGGACCTGATATGTAGTCCAGAACTGAGCATCTGGGTTCCTTTTCATCAAGAAGTACACTGTAGTTATAACATCTTCAAAATCTGCATATAGATTTTAAATAAACAATTTGAGCTGGTTATGTGCATGTTGAAATATGCCTTGGCAAACAATGCACTAATGATTAGAATAACTTCAGAAAGCTACAATTGTCTAAGACCTATGGCTGGAGCATAGTTCTTCAGTAAGTCTTAAACACAACAGTTGTCCTAAGTAAAAATTAACACCATTGCTCCTAGCTTTAAAGTTAGCTATTAACTTTCAGTATTTTCATCCCCTTTATATTTTGTTTGCTTTTTTTGACCATGTTTGTTCTAATATTCATCTATTTTCATGGAACCTATAACAATACAAGTTTTGTTCCCACAGAACTATTAAAGTCAAACACCCAGCTGTGACTTTCTTCAAGCATGCATTAATTTGCAGTTGATTAGGGAATGTTTTCTTGGTGCCAATCACAATTTTTTGCTTCCCTCTGAAATACTATGTTGCCAACTTAGCAACTTTGTCACTAGATTTAGTGATTTTGGTTTCCCTAGCAAGAAAATATGTCAAAGTGACCAGTGCCAAATCTAGCAACTTTCACTGCAAATTAGTGACATTCAGAGAAGTCATCAATATCTATAGTCAATCATTCATAAGTAGCTCAGTGTTAATGAAATCCATTTCAGGCTCACTACATTCTGTTGCACACCAAGTCAGTGTCATTGTCTTAATTGAGCATGTCCTCAGAATGAATCCTATTCCAGGGCTTCTTGGAAGATGGGATGAGACAGGGCCATGTGCCCCAGTGGGGCACTGTGCCTCCAGGAGTGAAGCCCTTACTCCTTGATCAAAGGTGGGGCTATCTTCCTTTCAGCTGCCCTTTACTCCTTTCCCTGGCTTAGCTGCCCAGCTGTTTCCAGAAGTTAAACCCTGAAAGTGTGTGGGGGGAGAGGGGGTCCAGCTAGTGGATTTTTGTTTTAAAATCTACTTTCTTGGCTCCCTGCAGTGAGTTCAGGTCAGATGAATGCCCCTTTTCCCCCTGGGTCTGGCCTCTCCCTTTCACTAGCCTGTCTGTTCAAATCAAGGCTGGCAAGAAAGGGTGGTTCAGCTGCAATTAATCAACCCCAGCCAGCCTGGGCTGCAGTGTGCCCTTCCCAGTGAACAGAAGGCTGGGGTTTCCTTCCCAATGAGCAGAGGGCACCCTCCTGAGGAGGATAGCGTACTATTATTGCTTCTGGTGTGCAATAGTATACAGTAAGAGCAGCATGGAATGGATTTTATTAACGCTATTGAGCTGCTTGTGAATGATTTTGTGACATATGTGCCTGTGTGTGTATACTAAGGGCTTGTCTATATTGGCAATTAACAGTGCTGCAACTTCCTCACTCAAGTGTGGAAAAACACCCCCCTGAGCACACGTTGCAGCACAGTAAAGTGCCAGTGTAAACAGTGCCCCAGTGCTGAGAGCTACACCCCTCATTGAGGTGGGGTTTCTTAGAGCGCTAGGAGAGCATTGCCACTGTAGACAAGCCCTAAGCCTTGGTTGAAGTCTGGAAATCTTGTTTGGTTACAGTTTTGACACCTTTTGAGTGTTTAAAACAGCTACATCTACCAACTTTTCAGGGTGTGTCTAGTGACTTCCTGCTAGGTGGAGTTGGCGACACTGCCATGACTAAATTAAATACTACCATCACTTACTTCTTTACTTTCTCTAGCTTATTGTTATATACATTCATAACATTTTATTTGCTTATAAGTAGTCACTAACCTTCTGGTTCAAAAAATACATCAGAGGCCAGAATAATGTCTACTTGAGGCAGAGAGAGCAGATTGGGAGATATTTGGCCCCAGGTAAGTCCTATAATGTGTACCCCTAGAAGGTTATTTATCTGACAGCTTCGCTCACAGTTCTTCAAGCACTGAGGCAGTTCTTCAGTATCTGACAGTATCACTTCGGCCCCACATTTAGCAGCTACTATACCAGGTAGGCTCATGCCTGCTCCAATCTAAACAAAATAAAAGACTTTAATCTCATTCATCAATTATATTTAATGCAAAGGATAACTGAAGGACGGGGGAGTATATTCTGTATCTTGCCTCAAAGTGTTTAATGATGCCATTCTTTAGTTGAATTCATGGTAACTTTAAAACGACATGTTCACCTCTGAACTGCCCTTGCTCAGGAGAAAAGACATTTGTATTTGATCTGTAGCAGCAGTGGTACACCACAGATACAAATTTAAGAATGTCATGAATCTTACTTGTTTCTGTTCTTGTAAATATAGTGAAGTGGGTGGAATCCTACATGCTTAAACATGTTATTCACAAAGATAAATCCTGCAGTTCATAGATGAGCAAAACTTATATTTAACAGGAAGCCCCTTCGATGGCTCCTAACTGGTGCTTCCATAAATCAGCCTGCAAAAATATCTGCTTTAATTATGGTTTTACTATATCACTCCTTTGAGTATTTGGGCATTTTTCTAATGTTTGACCAAAAGAACTTGCAAACTGTTTCATGAATCTCCAACCACAAAAAAGTTACCACAGTAATTTTTTGACATTAATTGGATCAAAGGTTAGACCTTTTTAAGACACATGGGCAGAACAGAAAATAAATGCCAAAAGGCAGATCACGAAGTAGGATCATTTAGAATTCTATTAATACTGAAGCAGAAATAGGAAAAAAGCATCCTGCAGCTTACCTAAATAAAAAAAAAAATCAAAATTAAAACTGATTGAGAGTTAAGACAAGTAACCATGAGCCTACTAGTTTTTTTTAAAGGTAAGTTTGTATGATCAAAAAAATCTTTCAAGACTACTTTTACCTCCAAAATTCTCTTGCCAGGTAGCATTCTTCTGTGAAACCATAGGTACTGAGCAAGAACCACAGCACAGGGCCAAACGTACATGCCATATTGGGAATCCAGGACCTGAAACAATAAGCCCCTTCTATGATCTTTGGCAGCACCATAAAACACTTTGAAAGAGGCAGAAAAATATTACATTAGTGCATTTTTACTCTAGTTGTGCTTTGGTCACTCATTTTGAGCCTGATCCTGAGCTATACCTACTTCAATTGACCTACTGTTATTTTCTGCTCATATGTAATTCAAACAAATTGTACATCCCTA